AATTTACGAAGAAATGGTTGAGCTAGTTCTAGACATAGATCTACTGATCTAGTAGTGTAGGTCTAGATATTAGATCTATTCTTGGAATCTAGTAAGTGCTAATTAGCTAAATATTCCATTCAAATCCCTTTCTTTTCCCGACAATGGCTCTACTATGTCTAGAATAGTCTAGTCCTAATCTAGACTAGGTCACTAGAAAAAAATATATATTACTTACTAGATCTAGACTCTAGATCATAGATCTGACTATTCTAACACTAACTCCTTGAACTGGTTTCTAAGTAATGTAAGAAAACTTTCAAAAGGATTTTTTTTTAAAATACGTTATTAAAGATCTAGACCTAAATGATAAAAATGTAATTAATTAACTTAAACACAGTAAGGCTAAGGCCTAAATTAGTAAATAAGGCTATAGACAGTATAGATCTAGATCTACGTATTTAGTTATTACATAGTCTAAATTAGTTTCTAGATCTAGAAGTAGGGCTAGCACTAGATAACTAGAAGTAGACTCTAGATCTATCTTAGTATCTAGAAATGTACTTAGAAGGTGATAGATCTCTAGATTCTAGTTTCTATGTATCATTATGTAATAAATTTATTTTAGTTCTTAATAAGTCTATTATCTATAGACTATAGATTTAGACATAAATATTTAGATCTATAATATAATTATTATAATCTGTGTTCTTAGACTTAGAGGACTTATTTGAATATAGTCTAGACTAGTACTAGTAGACTCTTAAATTATTTTAGATCTAGAACTAGAGACAACATCTAGTCACTAGTGTAACTAGAGTAGAGCCCTAGAATTAGAAAAGGATAGATAATCAAGTAGATCTAGAATAATCCAAACTAGATCTAGTCAATAGATTTAGATCTAGTAGTAACAAATAAAAATAGATTGTAACATTTGAGCCTAGGTTATTAGAATACATTTTGGTTAGAATTCATCATGTAATATAGGAGTTAGAGCTATTGATTTTAAAAAAAGCACATAATTATGAATTAAAGGTTTTCTTACTTTTAATTATAATATTTACATCTAATTTATAATAAGCAAACTAGTATTGTTATTAATAAAGTAATATAATTGAAGTTTTATTTATTGCGTACAATATGGCTGACAAACATAAACGCATGTATGTTCCACATTGGGGCCCAAAATTCCACATTTTCAACCTGAGTGTTCCACATTCGGGGTCTTGGGGGTAGGCATGTCTGGTGAGGTGTCATTTTCATATACATAAGCTCATTGTATTTTTCTATCATCAGTTTAAACAAATCAGCATGGCCTATGAAGTCTTATCAGATCCCAAAAAAAGGGAAATTTATGATAAAGGTGGAGAAGAAGCCATTAAAGGTGGAGCTTCAGGTGCTGGATTTGACTTCCATTCTCCAATGGATATCTTTGATCTATTCTTTGGTGGTGGTGGTCGTAGGGGCCCTCAGAGAGGACCCAGAAAAGGAAAGGATGTAATTCATCAAATGAAGGTACATGTTCTTGCACATTTATACACTTTTCAACATAATAATTAACAAAAAAAATCTTAATAGGATTAGTTGTCTAAAATTATATTTTTCTTATACCCGTATCAGGTTTCATTAGAAGATTTGTACCAAGGTGCAACCAGGAAGCTGGCATTACAGAAAAATGTCATTTGCAGTAAATGTGAAGGTAATATATATATTTTTTTAAGCTACTGCTGTTAGAATCTAACGTGTTTAAAAAATTTTTTTTAAAGCTTTTTGTTCATAGGCTCTTAATTTGTTCTCTAATGATGTTTATTTATTCAGGGATTGGAGGTAAAGAAGGATCTGTTCAGAAATGTACCAATTGCAGAGGGACAGGCATGCAAGTTCGAATTCAACAGTTAGGCCCTGGCATGGTCCAGCAGATTCAGTCTGTATGTGCTGAATGCAGGGGAGAAGGGGAAGTCATTGACCCAAAACACAGATGTAAAAATTGCAATGGAAAGAAAATAACCAAAGAGAGAAAAATATTGGAAGTACCCATTGATAAAGGTGAGTTGTTTTTTTTCTGTGTGCCTATTAAAACCTGTGATTTTGATGACAGTGCTAAAAAACAAAAATATTTATTATTTAACCCTTCAATAAAGAAACCACAACTTAAACTTCTATTTCTAGCTTTAAATCTCAGGTATATTGTACTTTTTTGTGTAGATGCTGAAAACTAACTTTAAGAATTTACACTAAATGCATTACGATTTTAAGAAACTATAATAAAAAATATTTAATTTATAGGCTTAATAATTATCGCTATGAAATAAGAGTTTCAGGCATGCAAAGAAAAAAAAATAGGCTGGGGTACATTAATAGTCTCTGATAAGTTGTCAAGGTAATAATCATGATTTCAGTATTAGTAAGTTGCAATTTAGTTAATTTTACAATTATTTTGAACCTTATTTATCACGAAGGCCTATTGTTCAAATTTTTTTTTTACAAAGATTACACTATGAATGCACTCAGTCTGGTAAAAAGTTAGTGCATGTTATTTCTCTGACACCCAATCTCTGATCAAGTTTTAATTTTTCAATATTATTTCTTTATTTCTTTTACCTGACAACACAAGAACAAATAAAAAAAATTGATTGATTAATTATTTTGTTTGGTATCTTAAACAAGGGAAAGATAGTACGGTATCTAAATAAAAATTTATCTCCTTTATAGGTTGTTTTTAAAAGTAAGTTTGCAACAAACAGTACATAACTATACAATCTTCTATAGTCATAGACACCTCCCTAGTAGAGTGGCTAGAAGTGGTGGATTTAGATGTGAGCCATGAGTTCAAATTGAGGTCATTTCCTTTTTTTTTTTTTTTTAAGATAAAGGTAAACCACCCAGATCAGATATCCTCCCACACTCATTATACCAACTGGTCTAGATACATTAGAGTATTGAGAAAGTTAAAAATATGAAATAGCACTAAACAAAAACAATTGGTTAAAATGTTTCTAATTGTACAGATTTATTATTGTTGGTCTAGATCTATTACACATTTAGTTAAATGACTGATCCTAACTGATACAAATACACTTTGTTGAAGCTTTATTTTTTAAAAGTATTTTATGTTTTTCTTGTGGGGCTGTTAAAATGTTGCTAAAACTATGTTATATTATTACAATACAATAATAATACTGTTGTTTAAAAGTTACATTCCAATTTTATTAAGTAGAACAAGAGTAGAGAAACAAACAGCAGAGTCTAATACACACTAATGACACACTTAAAGAAAACCATGAACATACTGAACAGTAGAACAAGGGAGACTACAAAAAAAACAAAGACACACACAACATACATAAACATAAATACACATATAAATGTAACAAAACAAATGCTATATTTGTATTTATTTTATTTAGGCATGCGTGACAATCAGCAGATACGATTTTCTGGTGAAGGTGATCAAGAACCTAACCTTGAACCTGGGGACATAGTAATTGTCCTGGATGAGCAAGAGCATGAAAGATTTCGCCGCCGTGGGAACGACCTCATAATGACCATGCAGCTAGAGTTGGTTGAAGCTTTATGTGGGTTTCAGAAAACAGTTCAGACTCTAGATGGCCGTACATTAGTAATTACCAATCTTCCTGGTAAGTTGTGCTTGCATAATACAATTTTTTTTTATTTCTACTTGAACATAATAAATTCTATAACATCATAATTAACTTTGAACAGATCTAGATTCTGACTCTACTTTTAAACAAAGATCAACCTTAAATGATTTATGGTCGAGTTTGTAGATTATCACAAGATTTGAAAATAAGCTATTTTACTTCAGTTCTTTCAGCCTATTTATGTGAATTAGGTTTTTCTTTTTAAAGTCAGTATAGAAAAAGGCTTTACACCACATCAGATGTTAGATTTCAGATAAGACTGGCTAATATCAAGAAGTAATGCTCTTCAAAATATATATACACACATTTTATAAGTTTATACTTTAAAAAAAAGCTTAACTTAGAATATGGTTCAAAACAGCAATGTACTCTGAATGTGTGAAGTGTCAGTTATGTTTTAAAAATTTGGGAAACTCTGGAATGGTGAGTTAAATGAATGAATTTTAAAATGAAATAAAACTTTTTGGGTGGTTTAGTCTCATAAATGTTGTGTGCAATTCTGGATGTTTAGTTAGAAAGATATATTTGAAAAAAAAGATAATATGGTCACAGCTTGACATGCTTCTAATGTTAGTTCTGATCTTCAACAGGTGAGGTTGTTAAACACCAAGATGTCAAATGTGTGATGGGAGAAGGCATGCCTATTTACAGAGATCCATTTGTGAAAGGTCGACTCATCATTCAATTCACAGTCAATTTCCCTAATAGTGGTTCCCTCGATCCAGCAGCCATTAGTGCTCTGGAAGCAGTGCTCCCACCAAGACAGGTATATTCAATGTTGTTTTGAAGTATGAAGATTGTTTGCTTATTGGCTTGAGCTAGATAAAAATTTAATAAACTTATCTTTTTTTTTTTTTCAAAGCTTATGTTAACTCTGTCTGGATGTTTCTCCCACGCCCAATCTTTTTCTCTAATATCATTAATTGTCTTGTTTCATCTTTAGGAGGTTATTGTTCCTGATGGTGCAGAAGAATGTACGCTGGAAGACTTTGATCCAAACCAGGAACAAAGGCACAGGAGTCAGGGAATGGAAGCATATGACTCAGATGATGAACATTCTGGGGGTCAGAGAGTGCAGTGTGCAAGTCATTAATAATTGCTACGTTTAGGAGCATTTCTAGGGATTACAGTTTTCTGCATCAGCCAAACTTTAGATATTTGCCTATAAAGAATGCCTTGTGAATTCATTTAAAATCTATTTAATAACTTCTGAATCTATAAAGAATTCCTAGTGAACTCATCTAGAAAAATTTAATTACTTTTATGAAGTTGCATTGGACCACAGAATAAAAATAAATGACTTTTAAATTTGGAGGAATTTTTTTGCGTGGAAAACTGTGACCCCCCCCCCCCCCCCCCCCCCCCCCTAATCATTACAAGTAAATCACAGAGATTTCTATTGAAGATGGACAGTGAGTGTGATGTGATGTAAAAGTGGCGACATTCCTAATGTCATTTTGTCTTTAAACTATTCTGTACAGTGTCTAACAGGTCATTGTAAATAAATTGTCACTATCCTCATTTTGTTTCGTGTACAGTCAATCTATAGTGAGAATCAACAGCCATTTTTATCTATTGTCTTGACTTCCACATTTTTTGGCTCTTTGTCCCTTTGTGTTGATATAGCATGCAATGAAATGTTTGTGGGTGAGAATTGAGCAACTTAATGGTGGTGCTAATATGCAGGGTTGATAGTGTACGTATTAGTCTGTTTCACCCTCACTAGGTATTAACTGTACTAAGTGTAAATAACTCACTATTTATGGTTTTATTTAAGGAACAAGTTGACAGCATATTTATTACATCAGAGGAATCTGTGTGTGTGTTTTACTTTAGAAAATTGAGTAGTTTTTTGTTTTTTCATATGATGTCATATATATATAAAATTGTACCTGAGCTGCACTACAAATGATTGAATGTACAAACTTGATGTGACCTGCAGTAGTGTAGTCCCTATAGACTAAGCAAAGTCAACTTTTGTTGGTGACCAATTCAAGAACTGTATTCAATAAATATGAATATTTAATCACTTTTCTCTTTTATTCTAATTGTAACACTTAAGAGAGAAAACAACTCAATCTGGTGGTGTTAACTAAATGGATAATTTTAATATCTGAAGGTTGATTTGTTGACAGGGGAGCAAGCTTACCAAATTATGCTTCATACAGAGGAAAGATTAATATAAGTAGTGGATTGGAATACTTTTTGGGGATAAACAAGAAAAGCACAAGAATGGAGAAGGGACATTACCAATGATCAAATAAAGATATGCTTAACTCCGTAATTATTTTCCTTGCTCCAATAGAATTATTTATTTGGCTTATTTGTATTTCACTATCCTGTTACGATTAAACTTAAATAACCTTTTTGTTAGTTTATCAGAAAATGTTATATTTGGTATTGAGTTATAGGAGAATGCATGCTCTTTTTACACAACACAAAGTTTATAAATCCAAAAATCAATTTAGTTTAATGGGGGTTCAAATCGACGTTGGCATCGTCAGCAGATAAAGATTGAATAGTCCATTTAGTAAAAATGGTCAGTGTTAGAGAAAATTTGTACAAGTTAATCATAGCTTAGCTCATTCCTTGTCAAATTGTTAGCACATATTTTTTCTGTAAATCAGTTTAATCTTTCAAGGCAAAGGCTATGAACCACAGATTAATTACTAAAATCAGATTTATTTCAATCATGTAAAAATGTACATTTCAAAATCTGAACAAGCAAAACTTTAAATTCATTTGTAGCATAAAAAGTGATCAATTCTTAAAACTTATTTTTAAAAACAAGCTTTCAAACATTTGAAGGTCTAAAATATACACATTTAACTAATGTATGTACATTAAATAACACAGGCCTACAATGAAAAAATTGTTTAAAAACTAAATGCTGAATCTTATGTAACTTTGGTCGCTGATTTCAGTAAAAATAAGTAAAAAATTCCATCACCCTCAGATTTTTGCCAAAATCAGCATTTGTCTTCTAAAAGGAGAAAATTGTCTTATGCCGCTTCGCTAATAAAAAAAAAAAATTTTGCATGCCATTATATCATATTCATTATTTTTCATTTTATTATTATAATTTTAAAATATATTAAACACTAAGCAGTATAAAAAGTAAAAAAAATCCATGCGAAAAAATTTGCCAAGTTGACATTGAACTCAACGTATTACATCATGCATAACACAATGTGGAGGGTTACAATTTAAAAAACAAAAAAATTTTCTATCCAAGTCTTTAAGGTGCTATTCGTCCTGTGCGTCATGGTCCAGATGTTCCTATACCTTCTGTTCCTGAATCACTAGACAACATTGTCATATCAGATGAAGAAAATAATATATCTGAAGAAGAGTTTAGTATTCCTAGCAATGAGCCTCAACAATTTTCACAACAGGAGTTAAATGATTTAGTCAGGGATTTAAATTTATCAAAAGAATCTGCCGAGTTGCTGGGTTCTAGACTGAAAGAGAAAAATCTTCTGGCTGCAAACACATATTTCTGTTGGTACAGAAACCGCGAAAAAGACTTCACTTCATTTTTTAGTCAGGATGAGGAATTAGTTTACTGTAACGATGTAGCAAAGTTGATGAACATGTTTAATATTGAATATGATTGGAGCAGCTGGCGGTTGTTTATTGATGTATCAAAAAGGAGTTTGAAGGGAGTGCTTCTTCATAATGGTAACAAGTTTGCATCACTACCAGTTGCCCACTCAGTCCGCTTAAAAGAGCGTTATGAAAATTTGGAAATGATATTGTCTAAAATCAAATACAATGAACATCAATGGACTGTTTGCGGAGATTTGGAAGTAATATCAATGCTATTAGGGCAACAAGGAGGGTACACAAAATATCCATGTTTTTATGTGAGTGGGACAGTAAAGATAAAAACCAACATCGGGTTAAAAAAAAGAATGGCCAAGAAGAGAACTAGTGCCTGGTGTAAAAAATATTCTAAATGTATATCTCATAGATCCGAAAAAAGTTCGTTTACCTCCACTTCACATTAAACTTGGAATTATGAAGCAGTTTGTTAAGGCATTGCCAAAAGATGGTCCTTGTTTTCAATACTTGGTAAAAAACTTCCCTAACTTATCTGAAGCAAAATTAAAAGAAGGAGTTTTTGTAGGTCCAGATATTCGCAATATGATGAAAGATACTACATTTGAAGCTACAATGAAAGTTGCAGAAAAAGAGGCTTGGTTATCATTTAAAGAAGTGGTAGCAAAATTTCTTGGGAATTATAAGGATCCAAATTTCAAAGACATTGTTGGAAGCAAGCTCAGAAAACTAAAAATATTGGGTTGCTCAATGAGTTTGAAACTCCATTTTCTCAACTCCCACATTGATTTCTTTCCAGAAAACCTCGGAGCAGTAAGTGAAGAAAAGGGTGAAAGGTTTCACCAGGATGTCAAGGAAATGGAAAGAAGATATCAAGGGCGTTGGAATGTCAACATGATTGCTGACTACTGCTGGATGTTGAAAAGGGAATTAACAGAAAAAGTTTATAAACGGAAATGTCAAAAAAGAAGTTTTGAAAAAAAGAGAACAAGACATAATGGAAAAGAACAAAATAAATTTGAATTTTATTACATTTATTAATTGTTAAATCTATATTATGTGATTTTTATACACATTGAATGACATGAAAACTATGATAAAATGCATATATTTTTCATGACAATTTTTTTAATTTCTCATTTTCGTATCATTTTTTTTTCGTGTTTTGCAAAAAAATCTTACGTGATAGAAAAAAAACGGGTCTCAATTTTGAAATCAGCACATTAAACTACATAATATTCAACATTCAAAATTAAAACAATTTTCCAAAAGTTAAAAAATGCAGGCCTGTGTAATTAGTTATTGATGGTGCATTACTGTTTAAAAAAAACTTTTCTCTGTCAGACTAAAACTGAGATATGAATGTTTAGGGCTAAAGCCTGAGTACCAGGCATAACTGCCAAAGTTAGAGATATTTGAAATTAGGAATATTATACTTAGCGTACCCCTTTTGTGAAACTGAAATTCTCTGGCCAAAACACAATGCACAGATTCATAACATTTCTGAGGGATTGGTTTAGAACATATATAACATATATAAAGATGTCAAAGATCATTTTTTTTCCCCACAATTTAGTACTAATTTCTGAAGTTGATGGGTTGAAAACCTGTCATTAACAGGATACAAAAGCTTTTTTTTTTTTGTAAGCCTACACATAAATGTTCAACATGAATAAAGATTCACAAACTATCAGCCTATTGTTAGTTTGCTTGCTCAAAGTGCAAAGATGCTGAATTATTCCGATGTAAAATTCCCATCAGAAAGCAGTTCACTGCACATGGACCTGTTGTCAGATAGCACTACCCAAAGAACAATTCAGGCTATAGACAGTAACAGAAAATAGTGTTCTGGTTTGGTTGGGCTGATATGGTAGGCCACTTTCAATGAGGGAACATCACACTTGGATTGTAAATATATCAGCTTGGGAAGTATTTGAATCCTTAATGTGTGTCTAGCTGTTGCGCTCTTGTAAAGTGTGACCATATGCAAATTTGGTTGGAACATTTAAACATATTCCTATCATTAATTATATAAAAGGCGATCAGCATATACAGAGATAAGATCAGTAATTAATTAATTCTGGAATAATAGGCAGCTATCACCTATAATTCTGCTCATCATTCATACAGAAAGACTGGAAGATGCCCGTGGCTAGATTGTCAAATCATAAACTATTATTTTTACCTTTATTATAACTAAAATAATTGAAAGAAGGTCAAGCTGTTCTGTCAATGCTCATGTTTAAAGTGATTATATTTAATTGCACTCATACTGACACAAAAAAAATGTGGATTTGATCTTTATGGTACCGGTACTGTTTATCAATCAGTAGTTTAGCTATATCTAGTTGGTCATAGTACAGTAGAACGTCGTTTATCCGAACGTTTATTATCCGGAGCGTCTAATATACGGACCAGTTTTTTTTTTTTTTTTTTATCAACCACATGTACTGTAATGCACATATACTGTATGAATACGAAAAATAAGTGATTATTTTCCACAATAAAGGTAAAATTGCGACATTTGTCACCTATTTTGCTCGTTCTTCACGCACGTGTCCCGCATGTGATGATTTTCAATATTCGTATAGTGTCCGGTTGCATATACTGCATGGATCGCTTCGGTTTTCGGTTATCCGAACAATCGCGTATCCGAACGGTGTCCGGTCCCAATTGAGTCGGATAAACGACGTTCTACTGTAACTTAATGAAGTTATTGAGGTTGGCTAAAATCATCTAGGAATAAACATGTAAATGATTTCTTTGAAACATTAGCATACTATGGGTATATGCTGCTCAGTGGCAGAGCAAAACATCTAGTTAAGGTACTTCTAACAGATTTATCTGAATAAGTATGACATAAAAATAATTATATCCATTAACTTTATAGCTATAGAAAGGCCACTAGAGTAGATAACCAATCACTAGAAACATTATGAAATAACAGTCAAATTAGAAAATACCCAGCCATTTTTTTTCCCATAAATAAAATTTAATTTAATAAATTATATTGTTATGCAAATATTTTTTTTTTGGCAAAGTTATAATGTGAAAGTAAAGCCGATTTATGGTTCTAAACTCACAACCATTCTTTTTTACCATATAATTATAAAGACAACCAAATAGATAAAGTACATACTTATAACAAAACTTGTAAAATTTATATATTTAACAGCAAAACAAGCCATTCACAACAAATAAATATGACTTTTTAAAATATTGATGCCAAAATGACAGTAGTTAATTTTACAAAGTGGATGAGATGTTAACAGTGTTCATAGTGATAAGTATGTCACAACTTGAATATTAGTATGAGGATTCTGGACAGCTACTTAGATCACATGAGAAAAAAAAATATTTAAGGTCAAATAGCAATGCTGAACTTATAACAAAGACGTGAGTGCTAATAAAGCATCATGCTAATGGTGAAGATATTGAACTTGGCATTGTCATGAAATAAGAACAGATGGAATAGGAGCACTAACAGTGCATTACATATATATATATATATTTATACATATGTTAATGAAGAAAAATAGTGAAAGATGTTGCCCTAATGGGTTATTATCAAGCATTCTTTTCT